TTTTGTATCCATCTCCTGACTTGTGCCTGTGCACAACTTTATCCCAGAGATCTTTTGACGGTGCCTTGCCACCCATAGTTGATTGTTTGCTTCAGTTGCACTACCAAGGACTGAAATGCTCCAGGAAAGCTCTTTTCATGCTGAGCTGATCAAAATGACCACAGCTGATCACAGTTGAAAGTCAAATGGCTTTGTGTGCCTTTGAGAAGGTGATTTGCTACACCTTATAGAGTTTACAAGTCATTTTTAGGAGAGAGGTGATCCTTTTTCCAAATCAGTGATTCTGTTTTGTTTTGTTTTTTTCAGACATGTTGGTGTTATATCTTTCACTTGGATGTTAATACAGCTGGAAAGCTACAAAATGTGATTATTTTAAAGGGGGGTGATTCTTTTCTATACCCACTGTATCTCCAAATTTGAATGCTAAAAATGTTTGTGTAAATAATTTTGAACCTGTTGCTCACATGCTTTGAAGTAGGATTATGACAGAATTCTTGATATAGGAAAGACAAATGCTCTCAGTAATGTGTCATAAACATAGAAACAGCAGAAGCAGCCGACATGATTGGCAGACAATATTATTAGATTAAAGGATGTAGTATTTGGCTGGCAGCATTCACCCCACTGTATTAGACTGTTTTTAATTCTGATTTCATTAATCCAGAGGATTATGGAAGTTTCCGTTTCTGAGGACATCATACCTGTTATGAGATTATTAGACTCAATAAGTGTCATTTGCACTTCTGTGTTTGTAAACCCTGTAATCCTGAATAATTAAATTATCTTCATCTCTCCTTTCACCTTGAATGCCACCCCCAACCTCTCAGAGGCAGAGATGGTTTGTACATGTTCATTTGAGATTGATCCTCACAATGTATCCTCTAGTGTTTTGATATGGTCTTACAAGATATACGTTTCGATTTACAAGCATGACACGTGTCGTCTATTTTTTTGGGTTTTATTGTATGTCTTAATATATTAGGCCAACTTTTTTTTTTTTTTTTTTACATTTTCTGCACCTTTCTTTGTGAAAAAGTATAATCATCAGAGTCAAAGGGCTTTGAAGAACTAAGAAATGACAGGTGTTTAGATCTGCAGATTCTGTGTGGTGCTGGTTATTGTATGCATGCTGTCTCAGTGTTTTTTCAGACTACAAAACTTGTTTTACACACACATATTACCAGTACTGTGCAGCTGCATGTAGTTTCATCCCTAAGCCTATTTTGCATTGCGCATGCAGAAAAAAAAATAAAACATTGAAATGCACTATCCAGTTAAAATGAGCACTCATAGAGACTCATTCTTATTGGCTGCATGTATTGCGACTGCATTCACGAAAGTCAACATTTCAGAACCACAGATGCAGAAGAACAGCTTTCTTAGACTATCGAGTGTGAAACAAAATAAAAAATGCTGCTGGAGTTACACTGCAGTGCTGATGTAAAACAGACTTTACTGTGGTTTTTAAAATTTTAAAGAAAATCTTAAATGTAAATAAACTGCTGATCTGTTATGCATTATGATAATGTTTGCTGTAATGTTAATAATGAAAGTTATTATATAGTGTTATCTAAAGCTCAGTTTAGCTTTGTCATTGACCTTGTTGTGTGTCTATATTTCGCTTAGGAGGGGTTCCAAATGGGACTGACTCTAGAGGGGACGGTGTTTTCTCTGGATCAGGTGGACAGCCGATGCTGATTTTGAAAATACATTTTTGTATATGCCTTTTGTATATGTATATGAATTTGTATATATTCTTGACCACAAAACCCTCACATATTAAATATTTGATTTTGAATTGAATTTGAAAGAAATGTCGCAGGAGCCTCAAAAATGTCTATAGAGGTCATTTCTATTTTTATAAGATAAAATCAGCATTTCAGATTGTAAATACTATTTATGATTTGTGTATTTTAACTTCTTAATCTTATAACAGAAACTGTTGAAAAAGTGAGAGAAACAAAATGTGCTCTAGCCCTTTCTAGAAATTTTCTAGAGTTTTGACCAAATTTAGACTGTTTAAATTCAAAGACGCATTCATTCATGGCCAAAAGTTGTTTAGAATATTTTATACCGCGCAAGATCACTGCTGAGGTTCAGATCCTTTTTACTTCCATTGATGGCTGTTTTAATATTTGTTAAATGCGTCTCACTTGCTCTTTGATGGTGAATAAATGAAAACTGATAGCACACTATATTAGCCGTGTGTTCTTTTTTTTAACAACCACAAACAGTAACTCTACCAATAGAAAACAGTTCTTGTTTTCAGACATTTGTTCATGGCAAAAATCAATGGAGGTCTGTTGAAAAGGAATTCAAATGTTTAATTTGGTATTCATTACAAACAATTGACCCCCTCTGGATAAAGAGTTTCTTTGTCATGTATTATGGGCTAATGAGCCTTTTAATGAGACCAGCACTGGTTTATGTGAGAGTTCTCATTAATAGTAAAGTATAAATAAATCTTCTGTCCAACAGTTTGCTATCAACAAAAAGCAGTTATCGGGCTTGGGAAGAGAACTGCTGGGGAATTGAATGCAGATGTGCTGTCCTGAATAATTATCCCACTTTAATACAATACAAACAAACTCATCTCTCTACTCTCTATACTTGACCTTCAAAATCCACTTGAAATGATTGTATGTAGTTTTGTAGATGTTGTTCACCCTTAAATTGCAGATTAGACAGGCAAGGCACAGTCAAATTTGTAAAACATGACTTTTTGAATTAATTTAAATGAATGTTTTCTCACATTTTTAATAACACCTGGCGTATAACATATAAATTAAAGGGTCCATAGTCTCTAATGCACTCATACATCACAGGTTAGTGGAAACCATCATGAAATAAAGGTCAGAAATTCCTCAAGGCATTTACAGACGGTGTTCACAATAAATACTGTATTGGCTGAATGCTCAAGTCCAAATGATGATGCTTTTATCCTTGGTTTCATGAGAAGCACACATGGCCGATATCAATGCCAAACTCCTGATCTTTCCCACCTACATCCACTGGAGCCAAGTCCACAATGGGCAACCGTGAAAGTGTTTGTGTGCGGTACTCAAAGACGGTCCTGCCCCATTCACCGCTGGGTTTCTGGAGGGAAGAACAAAGAGGAAGAATACTAGTGAGGTCATTTTTCATTGGTAGCATTTTTACATAAATGAAAACACTTACAGATTGTTATTCTTGACATTGTCATCAGCGTTGGGGACTAACTAACTCGAGGACCGTTCACACTGATTCAAATGATGCAATTTGAACAAGCAAAATGACCACAAGTCATTCAATGAGATGAGATGAGCGATTAGCAGAGCAAATGTGACGACTTTATGCAAATGCAGATAGAAGTAATGCGGAAACTACCAGTAAAAATGTAGACAGTGATCTGATGTGATACAATTTGATACTTGAGTCATGTAGGAACACCTACTAGCACCGAACAGCACAAATTTAATTGTTTTCAGTGTGAACGTAAATAGTAGATGTAATAATAACATTTACAGGAACAGCTACAGTACATTGTTCATTTAAATTGGTTGTATTAATTTAGTAAATTTATTTAGTAATGTACAATACCAGTCAAAAGTTTGGAATAATTAAGTTTTTTTTATTTTTTTTTATTTTATTTATTTTTTTTGAAAGAAGTGTCTTATTTATTATAGAAATCTTTTGCAACATACTTGTCTTTACTGTCACTTTTGATCATTTTAATGTGTCGGCTGGATAAAAGTATATGTTTTCCTTTAAAAAAAAAAAAAATCTAACTTACCACAAACTTTTAAATGAAATCAGCATATTAAAATGATTTCTGAAGGATCATATGACACTGAATGGCTCTCGAATGGCATATTCAGCTTTGCCATAACAGGAATAAATTACATTTTAAAATCAAACAAAATCGAAAAGTTATTTTAAATGGTATTTTATTTTATTTTTATGGATGTATGTATTTTTTTATCAATTGTACTACTTTTACTGTATTTTTGATCAAGCACATACCTCCTTGGTGGGCAAAAAAGAGACTTCTTTCAAAATATTAAAAAGTCTTAATTATTCCAAACTTTATTAATAAAAATAAGTTATATCAAAATACATATTTAAAACATTGCCTTAAAAAGTTTCACGGTTGTGTAGCTAAACTACTTTTTAAAGGTTAAAGGTTTAATTACTTGAATATATATGATTAGCTTTTGGTCTAACAATCTACAATTTGCAAAGTAGCTTCCCCAACGCTGATTTTCATTTTATGTAAATAATAAATGTTGTCAAACGATATAAAGTAAAAAATCTGAACGTACAGAGCAGCCGTACTCTAAGACTGTGTATTTCAGACGGTTGCTGCTATATGCCTTTATGTCCTGTCCATCAGAAGCCTTTAGGACTAAAGCCTTCTTCAGATTGCTTTTCTTCTCATCTTTATAGGCCACACTGTTTTTGCAGTGATACGTGACGGTCTGTGCTGCTTCCTTTGACAGCAGACGGAGAAATCTCAACTGGACGGATACAGCATTAGCTGGTGCCGCTTTGTTTCCATAGGTGAACTGAAGAGGAGTAATAAAAGGTCAGGGTATACAGTAAATTTAACTGCACACTGTAGTTGCACAATGAGACATGCTTTTAGTGTCCTATACAGGGCAAAATTTGTAACTTTATTTATTCGTAATTTCCTTTTTTGATTTAAATTGAAATTGTCATCATTGTAATCATATTAACCTTAGTCCCCTGGTTCATGATTGCTCCAAACCAGACTGGTTTTGGTATGCTGGAGCGTGAACTCCACCAGTTCTTTCGTGGGATACTGGCAGTGTTGGCAGGTATACATGTCTTCCCCATTTCCATGTTACAGTACACTTGGATGGCATCTCTAGGGCTGCCCTCATTTGGGTCTATCCAGTATTCACCTGTGATACATTGGGAAAAGAAGTCATACTTGATATACCTGACATATACACTGGCATAAAAAATGATTTTTTTTTTTTATATCATGTATCTCACACTAGATTCTGACTCTCGTGTGGTTTTTCTCTACATATGGATTTTGAATATTGGTAACTAAATCTTTGGTGTGGGCTAATCCAAGTGATCTGGATCATTATCCAGGTTTATTTTCAGCTCAACGGCAGATGACTGCCCATCAGTTTCCTAATAGGGTACAAGCATGCTCACTGTGAGATGCTGTGTTTGTTTTATGCCTGACATAATGGGACTTTGCTTTAACTTGTCTGTTCATATATGAATTCTCCTGAAAGGTTGGGAATCATGCAGGCAATTCCTGTCAGATACAACATAACCTTTTTATATTGGTTAGCGTCTTTCTACCCTCCAATTAAGGCCATTCTTGTTTATTTCTGCTTAGGAACACTGTTTATTGCGCTGACTCTAATTATCTCTGTAAATTTTGTTGAAAGGGCAGGACATTACTTTCTCACACAATGCCTGCTGGTGTTCCATAACTGTTAATTACATAAATGAGATGTTAAAGTTGTTTCTACAGTTAGATTGTGGTTAAAGGCCTGTAACAATCAGTTCCAGTATTTTTTTTCATGATATTGCTCACACACACACAGACGTAAAGATTTAAATAAGGGTTTTAAATGGTGTTCTAAGGACTCCCAGGGGGCCACAAAGTGGTTTGCAGAAAATCTGAGAAAAATTGTTAATAACTCAAATGTTTATTACCATAAGGTTTTCTCATGTTATTCCAAACCCATCTGATCTTTTTCCTTTTGTGGAACACAGAAGTAGTTATTGGCTCTTTTTCTTATAATACAAGTGTTTTGGGAACAGGGGCTCTAAAAATGGTTTTAAAAAAAAAGCCACCATAAAGTTATACAACTTTTCCAGTCAAATATCTAAACATCCATAGAACAAAATTAATTTGCTTGAGATGGAAAATTGCATATCGTATTAAAAGTTTTCAGGGAATGTATTTTGAAAAACTGTATTTTGTCTTTTTTTTTCTTTTTTTTTACACCTGATTTTTTTTTTTCATTTAAATTTAGGCTTACACTTAAAACCAGTTAAACAAATCTGCCAGTGCACATTCTCTAAACAGAACACTTGATATCTTATGCAGTTTTTCATTGCTTATCAGGTAGAATTATCTTATTTTAAGAAAGTTTGGGCTACTGCAAAACATGACGAATAACTTATTTTTGCATTTTATTATATTACAAGCATTCTGAAGCCATACAAGAGCTTGGAATAGACCGAAATTTAAATTTAAGCTCATTGAAATACAGCATGCCAAGATGCATCATGTCAGGTTTGACTTTTTTTTTTTTTTTACAAAATTAAGTCATTTGGGTTTGGAATGGCAAGAGGGTGAGTAAATGATTATAGAACTTTGCTTTTTTTGTGTGAATTATTCCTATAGAGATGTATCACAAATGAAAACTAAGATATAGCGATTCATGCTGTACCTGATCAGGGTCAGTAAAACTAAAGCA